TCTGAGGAAGATGCAATTTTGCTCTCTGATGTGAAGCAAAGCACTTGGGGCCGAGGCCGCCATGGGGATGGTGCTTCTGGAAATCAAGGTGGGAAAGGTGGAGTGAGTCCAGATGGATGGAAGTGGCAGTCCGGAGCACGTGTTGGAGCTACCTGGAGGCATCCCACTTTCTCTGGCTCATCTTGATCCGCTGCAAAGTCTCCGTGGGGTTAGTTTCATTCTCTACAGGGCTTTTGATAAACGTTTGCGTGTGAAACGGGGCCAGAATTATCCAGCTGCTTTGCAAGGGACCGCGACGCTGCAGCCCGCCCTCGGCCGAGTCAAACGAGAGACAGTCGTCGAGTCGGGAGACTCCTGCGCCAGGCGGAGCTTATGGCACTGACTTTTTGGGCACAGTTAGCTGGGGCCAGGCCAGCTCCCTCCATGCTGGGCAGGTCACCAGAGCCTGCTCTGATGCGGGGTTGCAGGACGGCACCAACAGCGGCAGAGCTCAGCCTGCAGCTTGGCTTTCTAAAGCGGGCAAGTTGCAGTGTGGAGCAAGTGGAGGCTCCAGCAGGAGGGGAAGCAGCAGCATGGCACAGAGAGGGGCAAGAAGAAGACATTGCCGGAGGCTGGTACGGACCAGGAGGAGCCAGCTGCAGTCCAGCGCTCCCGGGTGCTAGAGGTTTGCTGCTGCTGGCACGCTGCCCCAGATGACACGGGCTCCAGGGTCCCGGCAGAGCTGCCAGCAAAAGAAAGAGCAGTTGAAACACCGCCCTGTGACCAGCAAGAGTGATGAAGCTCGTGCCCAACAGGCAGCCGCCGGGGAGACAACCCCAACGTAACCCCAGGGCCGGCGTGGATCTTTCCACCAGACACACCGAGGATGTGGCAAATCAATCAGGATATTGCCTTTACTCTGCAGCTTGGAAGCGCCAGGATGTAACCCCGGCATGTGCCCTATGTGATCCTGTTTCTATTCTGAGCAGAGGGGAGTCCCACGGAGCCAGTGTCCCACGTCATCTGGCATGACACAAGCCACGGATGGAGGCATGCGTCAGACGGGCTCTGCTGTGCTGCCAGGGGCAGTGGCACGGGTGCGTCACCAACCAGTGAACACACACATGTTCTTGAGGCCAGGCCCTGGCTCCCAGCCCTCCTCTTTCACTCCTCCACCCCTGTGAAGCCCCTTTACTGGTGCAAAAGGACAAGGGCAAGAACTGCAGAAACAAAGACTGAATCTCCAGGGAAGGTCCCTCGTGGTCAGGGCTGTCGGACCGTGGAGCACGCTGCCCGGGGGGTGGTCCCAGGAGAGGCTGGACCGGAGCGTCTGGGACAGGGGAGCGGCAAATCCTGCGTCTGTGCAGGAAGATGGGGGCTCAGCAGCCTGCCCTGCACCCCAGGATGAGGCGCTGTGATGCTGTGAAGCCCGTCCTGCCCGCGTGGAGGGAGGTCAAGCTACCCACAGGGAGCTACCCCGCTGGAGTCCAGGGGGCTTCCAGGTGTCCCTGCCATGCCCAGTTCCAAGGGATTGGTGTGGCACTGCTTGGGTGCCCCCAGGGTCTGGAGGAAGGAGCTCAGCGGTGCCCAGCCCCCAGGGGAAGTGGGTGCCCTCCGCCTCCCCTGCTACAGCCGTGCGAATGCGATGCCCGGAGCAGCCGGCGCACGCAGCACGGACGGCAGGTCTGATGCACCATGACCGTGCAAACCCTGCTTCACCTCTCACGTGCACAACTGTCAGTGGCATGCACGGGCATGGGCAGGGGCAGATGCGGTGGCCCGGTCTCGGCAGAGGAGGGGCTGTCTCCACCCAGACGGGAGCCTGAGACTGCCTTTTTCTGGCTTTTGTGTGCAGTCAGAACAAATTCCCCAGGGATGAGTCACGTTTCCGAGGGTGTCCGGGGAGATGTCAGGCGAGCATCGAGTGTAAATCGAGGGCACGCCTCGTGAGGGGAGCACACGCCGTGGCCTGTGGGCCCATTCCTTCCAGACACCCCGCACAGGGGAGCAGTTCCCAAAGGGGATCGCATGAACCCGCACACGCGTGACCCCTGGGAGCTCGGAGCCGGAGGGTGGGGGGGCTCGCGTTTGCATTTTCTCACTAAAAGCAGCCGTGGTTTCAGGGCGGAGCGCCAGTGCTTCCTGCAGCTGCTGGAGGCGACTCAGGCACGCAAGGTTGCATAGCGCCGTTCGCATGGGGACGGTGCCCAAGGGGGCACCTGGGTCTCCCCTCTCCCCACCCAGGCCCCAAGCAGGCCCTGGCTGGGCGCTACCATGCAACAGGTTGGTCTGAATGGCTGCTTGCATTCAGCCTGGCTCAGGGCTCTTTATTCTCAGACCTTAAAGCACCTTGCAGGAAATGGCTCTGGTGGCACAGGGCACTGCCCGTTTGTGCTGGACGAGCTGAGAGTAAAACCTGGGTCTCTTGCCTGCAGTCTGCCCACAGAGAGCCCCTGTTCAAGGTGGGCAGGAAATGTCCCCACAAACATCAGTGCCAGCGGAGGCTCTTCCCACCCCCAAGCTGAACTCGTGCAGGAGCCAGCCATCGCAGCTAGGGCAGCGCCTTTTGTGTTGGTACCTGCAGCCTGGAGGGTCTGGGGACAATCCCTGGGCTCCCTTTCAGAGGCAGAGTCTGTGGCAGGAAACCTGGGCCGACTTGGGCAGCTCCAACTCGCAATGTGCTGACGCAGCCGCAGGGTGGATGCGACCTGCCGTGCCAGGCTCCCGCACTGAGCTGTGCGCTGAAAGCAACTCCGCTCCTCCCGCACGGAGCAGACCCCCGCCAGATCTTGACGGGAGGATGGGGATGAAGTCGGTACACGTGTGGTTCCAGTGCAGCAATCTGCGCGTGCTGCTCCTCAAGGCATGGCCAGGCCTGAGACTGGATGCGGACGCCATAAAGGAAGTGCAAGGAAAGTGACTCCGTGCCCTCAGGCCGGGTCGTGCTGCACCCAGCTATTGGCCAAGCCACCAGCCCAGGAGCACGAGCAACCTCCCCGCCTGCAAAGTACACGTTGGTCTCTCCTCTCAACACTGCACACCGCAGCCCACGTCTGACCGAGTCTCCATCAAGGCTCTGCGGGCAAACACAGAAGACCCCCTGCCCCTCCCCGGGCTCCTGCCCTTCACCTTGCGACTTCCTCCCCAGGTCCCTGGCAATTACCAGCTGCCATTAATATTAACGGGAGAGGAGGAAATGCAATCCTGGCCCCTCTTCATGTTCTGTGATAGCGCAAACAATTTGTCGTGATGGGGGGCAATGGGGGAGCATCTATTATTGATCACTGGGAGCAGATGGCTTTGCCGGTCCCAGCAACTGCCATGTAAGAGGAAGCCGTGGATGCGTGGTGAGGATTAGGTTGGTGGGCACGTATCAAATAACCCAACCTCCAGCGGCACAAGGATCTGCCCACCAGGCTCACAGACCCGGGGAGTAGGGGTGGCTCGAACCTGAGCAAATGGCCTCGGGCGCAAGGAAACATCTCCCACCTCCCTGGGGCAGCAGCGGTCCATGTTTATCCCCTCCTGGGGGGACGTCCAATCCGCGGGGCTGAGCAGAGATCCCCGCTCTCCTTTGAGAAGAGGTGTTTAAGTGCAAGGACAATGCCAGCACAAGACCACACGCATGGGAACTGGCCGGAATACATTTTGGCTGGAAACAGAAAGTTTCCAACCACCCATGGAATGAGGCTCTGCAACAGCAGCAAAGGCAAAACCTACCTTGCTTTGAGATGGAGCCTGATCCTTTATGAACGAGTGCGTGATATGGCTGCCAGTGCCAGCAGGGCTGCCCGGAGGGCCCCTGGAGCCCCGGGTTCAACCCCTCCAAGGGGAGCTAGGGAAAATGTGCATCAAGGCACCCCTGGGCATGGCTTGGGGCAAGCGGGGCTGAGACCCATCTCCAGAGATGGCAACAGAAGCCATGTGGGTACATGAGCTCAAAAGGAGAAGGAGGGCTGAAATATGAGGGGAAACAGCTTGTAGGCTGTGGTCCATCTGGCCGGCTCAGGTGGTTCCCAGAGAAGCTGAGCACCTGGTTAACTGATTCACCCCACGTGGGCAGGAGGTGCCTGGCCTAGCTTGGAAACCGAGGCACCGAGCAACCACGAGGACTTCACAGGGCATGCCAGCACCAGAGCCAGGCGCTGAGCCCAGCTCCCCCAAGCCTCAGACCAGCACCCTGACTTCCCAGCCACCTTGCCCTCAACAGCCCTGCCCCTCACCAGGCCAAACGTGGCTGAGAGCAGGAGGCCATGCCCGAGAGACGGCGGCCAGGCCCCTCCTGACATCACAGCGCTGCTGCGACCACGCACCTCCGTGGCTGCCTTTAGATGAGCAAGCGGCTGCTTCCTGGGCAGCCGGGGGATACCAGCACAGAGAGCAGAGGGAGGCGAGGTGCCAGGCCCCAAGCAACCCGTCCCCCAGGAGCTTTCCCATTGATCTGCCCTAGTTGGTGCTGCTTTGACTTCTCCCTTTCACTGCTGCCCCCGTGTCAGCCCCGAGCAGTGTACAGATTTGCACCACATGTGCTCTGAGGGACTCTTCTGTCCACGTCCGGATGCTCTGTAACACGAGTTATGCTTGAGAGCGCGTCCAGACACAGCCTGGGTTTTCATGTGCTTTTCGTCCCTGATACCAAGGCTAGTGCCCATCCCTTGCCCAAGGAAGAGCAATGTGAGAGAATTAGAGAACCCCAGAGCCAGGGGGCTGGTGAGGAGCTGCAAGGGCACCTCCAGTGCAAGCCCTGCCAGAGGCAGAATCAGCCCTGTCCCAACCAGCCCAGACAAACCCCGTGTCTGAGCTCTGAGCACCAGGATAGTCACCCTGACAGCCCCAGGCATCGCTCCTGCCCCTGGGAAAGCAGGGGTGCTGTGGATACCAGCGACCTGCTGCTGCAAAGGGGGTTCATGGACGCTGCAGAGAGTGCAGGCAGAGGCCGTGCCCCTGCTGCAGAGGAAGGCAAAGCACCAGTCTGAGCAGGGAGGAAAATCCCTTCTCATGTCGAGCTGAGCGTCTCCTACCTCCTTGATGGCCGACATCTTGATGTTTTCGTAGTAGTGCAGCGGCGCGTTGGGCAAGCTCATGTCGTAGCCGAATCCCGCGACTGCTACCTCATCGCAGTTGTGGAGCGCCATGGTTATTGCTACGCTTCCCAGGGTGGGGATGTTCTGGGGCAGGGAAAAAGAAGGGACATGAGTCATTTGCACATTGCTGCCATCCCCACTATGAATGCAACCTCCTGTCAAGGGCTTGGGACAGAGGGATAACATCAAGCCCTGGCAGAGCAGCAAGGGGCCGGGGCCCAGCCGGGTATCGGCTGCCAAGGGTGTCGCAGCCTCTAACCTGCGCAGGAAACCCTGCCACCCCCTGCAGCAATGGCTGCTCCAGCTCCGTGCCCGGCTTCTCCTGCCCGAGTCTGGCCAGGCGGGGGGCAGCGCCGGGGGCTCAGCTCTCCCTCTCCCTCTCCCTCCCGTGGGCTCTGCGTCCTGGAGATAGGGCAGCAAGTCTTGCGGGAGAGGGGTGGTGAAAGAGGCCAGCCGTGGCTGGAGAGGGCGAGCGTCGACATTTGTTCTCAGACGTTACAGCAGCTGCCAGCGTCTGAATCCCCAGCAGCTTCCCGCCAGCCCAAGATGAGCGTGAGAGCTGACCGGGCCGGCTGAAGGGAGGCAGCAGGGAGCACGGCACGGGGGACAACGTGCCACCTGAGGCAGCTGCACGAGCACCGGGATGGGATGGAGGGAGACCGGGGGCTAGGGGGCACCCTGCTTCCCCGTATGGGCGCCCAGACCCGGTGCTGTGCAGGGGAGACGCCTGCTATGGGGGCGCCAGGATCCAAGCGGCGCCCGGCCTCCCCCGGCTGTGTTGCCTTTGGAAAACAACCTGCGGGCAGGGGCTCCTTCTCTGGCTTGTGCATGTTCGCCGGCGGCGTTGGGGCAGAGCGAGGTCGGGGAGCGCTCACAGCCTGCCTCTCACTCAGCTTAAAAACCCACAAATCAGCCTGACAGCAACAGAGATGTCCTGACTCCTTACGGGACAGGAGCCGCACCTGCTGCGGGCCCCGTGCCCGCTGTCCTTCGCCGGTGGTTCTCGACCTTGAGACTCGAGACCCCCGGGGAAAGGCCAGCTCTTACCTCGCGCTCATCTCTCGACTAGAGAAAAACACCAGAGCAATTCTTTTTTACAAAGAACTCAGGAAGGCAGCAGCCGGGCAGAACGGCTTTCGCACGACGCACTCCTATTTGCAATCCTTGTGTTTCTCGTGTGAACCGTGTGTGCGGACCTGGCTGGGCTAACGGCACGCAGCACCCCGTGCCACGCTTGAAAGGCTCTCAAGGCACCTGGTTGAGGGTCACCGTCCTTAGCTAAATAATGTGACGTGGCCCCAAAATAACATGAAATGGAGAGAGCGACTGCAGTGGCAGCTTTGAAATGAAATCTGCAGCAAACCCCACCGAGCCCTTTCCACACTGGTAAAATGCATGACAACAAATGAGTCACCCAGTGAATCACACGTAGTCCTGCGGGTCTCTGCTCTCGCAAAGAGAAACATGCAGCTGGTCCACGGGCTGCTGAGCTACGGTTTTGTGTCCTGGGTGAAACGGGCGCCTGGAGCAGAGGGAAGTCAACCATGGGGCGCTCTGGGGAACTCTTCCCACCGGTATTTTGATGCTGCCCTGGCTGGGCCACAGAGCTCGCTGCGTCTCCACGCGTCTTTGCCCTGCTAAGAAAAGAGGGGCTCTCTGTCTTGGGGATGTGACGCGGTGAAGGCACCTCTGATCTTTCCCCTGCACACCTGCTGCCCTGGTTCTTGTCCTCTTCCTCCAAAGCATCCCGTCCTTGCCAGCGTTAGAGTGAGGAGGCCAGGCTAGACGGACCCTCGGTCCTCCCCAGCAGAGCGCTTCTTGTAGTCTTATAGACGCAGAAGCTGTGTGTCCCGCCCCCCCAGGCCGTGGCAGCTCCTCTCATCTCTGCTCCATGAAGGCTATGAGAAAAACCCTTGCTTCTCACACGCGCCCTGGGGCATCATGGCAACCCCAGCCCCGCACACCGCAGGCTCAGTGGCCCCGTGCCTCCCACCGCTCTGCCCGAGGCTTTGCTAGGGAGGGGAGAGCGCTGCATTTCACTCGCCGCAGGGGAAGTCTAGCTGCTTTCAATTCCGTGCCAGGGTCACTGTGGTGTCACCGCCTTTTAGGCTGGCAGGAAATTATTGCTGTAAATCTGTTTGCAGAAATACCTGACACCCTACGGGGCTAAATGGATTCCAGTCGCTTCTGGGGTTTTACCTCGCTGTGCGGGAGAGAGATGGATTATTGCGGCCATGACCGCCTTCTCTGAAGAACGGGGAGTTGTTACCAGATTTGCTACTGGAAATCACAATTGCAACACGACATTAATGCTGGCTGTGACTGATGCATTGACTGAATGTTGCACTGCATTCTCCTGGGGGAAAAATTGCGCACCCCCCAAAAATTCCCTCCTCCCCCCGTGTTATTCTGGGTACAGCTGGCAAACCTGATCACGTGGTATCTGTAAAGCCTTTGGAGCACACATGAGCTGTGCAACGGGACCATGCATCGCTACCACATCCTACAATAACAAAACACCCTTGGGCTTTTCTTTCAGATGCTTGTGCTTTTATGGGAATTTTCCCGAGGGGCGCGCAGCCCCCCTGTGCTGCAGGAGCTGCCCCCTTTCCTTTCCTCCCTGCACCCTGCAGAGACGGCCAGCACCGCTTGGAAGTACCAGCGAAGCACCCGGCGTGGATGCAGCCGTAGTCCCTGCGGCCGGAGTCGGCAGCCCGAGCACTGCTCCTGCGGCTGATGCCTGGCGCAGAGACCCCTGAGCCCGCTGGCGCCACGGGAGTCCAGCTGCACAGTCAGGTCTTGGAGACAGGCAAAGCGGAGCAGCTTTGCTTCTCCCTCTCCTGACTTATCCCTTGCTGTGACCAGGAGGACTTTCCTTAATCTCCTTAGAGGTCTGGTGGCAGAGAGCAGGGAACGGTCCACCAGAGGAGAAGGGATCGGATGCGATGCCCCTGCGGAGTCCAGTTTTACCATCTAACTGGAAGAGAAAGAGCCCGTTGCTTCCTCCCCTTGTGACCTGGGCCCATCCACAGGACTTGTGCACTGAAGTGTGAGGCCTCTGTCATCCCGGGGCATCCTGGGCAGAGAGCGGCAACGCCCTGATGGCAGCAGGACGCAGGAGAGAGGGGGAGAAAGGATCTCTGCACATGCTTAGGGCGCATATCTACTGCTCCGCTACAGTGCCTGATGGTGCTGCCCGGGGCATGCTGGGCTCGCTCCATGCGTGCTACCTCCTCAGCCTGAAACGCTGCAGCTGCCTTTGTGCAGCAGGGCGTGGGTGCGCTCAGCCGATGTGGTTGGTACTGGGACGGTGTGGGATCGACGTAGCCTCCTCAGCGTGCTCCACAGGCTGAGCCTGGCCGGGCAGCTCGGAGCCTGCTAACCCAGTTCCCCACAGCACAAAAGGGAACTGCCAGTGAAACCAGAGCAAGGCAGGATGCAGGTCCCACTACTCCTGTCCTTGCACTGCTTCTGCCCTTGCACACTGGCAGGGATCACAATGGAGAAAGCGAGTGGGTGATAAAAGCCACAGCCACTGCCTGGAAAGAAGAGATCGGCATGGCCATGGTGTTCTTATGACGTTCAACAAGGACAAGTGCAAAGTCCTGCACTGAGGAGGGAGCGATCCCCTGCACCGGTGCAGGCTGGGGGTGACGGGCTGGGCAGCAGCTCTGCAGACAAGGACCTGGGGGGGGACAGGGGACAAGGAGCTGGACAGGAGCCAGCAGCGTGCTCGTGTTGCCAAGAAGGCTACCGGCGTCCTGGGCTGCATGGGTAGGAGCGTTGCAGCAGATGCAGGGCAGTGATTCTTCCCTCTGTTCAGCACTGGGGAGCCCACACCTGAAGTCCTGTGTCCACTGTGGCCCCCCACTACAGAAAGGATGTGCACACGTTGGAGAAAGTCCAGCGGAGGGCAATGAAAATGGCTGTGGGGCTGGAGCACAGGATTTAGAAGAGGCGGAGGGAACTGGGCTGCCTGATGCTGCAAAAGAGAAGACCGAGGGGGATTGAATAGCAGCCTTCACCTCCCTGCAGGGGGGCTGCAAAGAGGATGGAGCTGGGCTGGTCTCAGTGGTGGCAGATGACAGGACTAGGAGCAATGGGCTCCAGTTCTAGCAAGGGAAGTTGAGGTTGGGTATTAGGAAAAACTCTCACGAGGTGGGTGGTGAAGCACTTGAACAAGCTACCCAGAGCGGTGGTGGTCTCCATCCTTGGAGGTTTTGAAGTGCCAGGTAGACAAAGCCCTGGCTGGGATGATGCAGTCGGGGCTGGGCCTGCTTTGAGCAGGGGGTTGGACTAGACGTGACTCCTGAGCTCCCTTCCAGCCCTCATTTCCTGTGATTCCACGGTGCAATGGAAACCTGTCCTGCAACGAACCGAGGTCGCGGGCAGGAAGCACTACGGCACCCTGGGGGCTGCCTGCCCAGCCTGGCCATAGCTGCAGAGCCAGGGAAGCAGGTTTGGGGCAGGACGCACTGACTATCCAGATCCAAAGGTCAACTCTGGGGCTGCCAGTGCTTGGCTGAGGTGCTAAATCCACTCAAAACGCGCCAGCTCACAGCTCTGCGAGGCCGAAGCTGCGCTGGTGCAGGGCAACGCCTTCAGTAAGATGGTTTTACACCCCGTCAGCTCTGCAGATCTCGTGCAGCCATTTCCGTTGCCTGACCCACAGCCTTCACATATAAGTGACTCCAGCCCCAGGTACAAGCAGGAGCGCTGCCAGACTGGCAGGTGCAGAACATCTTGCAAGCTTAAAGTAAAACTATACAGGACGGGATCAGCAGGTTTAGCAGAAAGGAACTTCAGGGTCACACGTACAGATTCAGTGCATCCATGCATCTCCCAATTTCCATCATGGGACAGAGCGGAGGGTTAGCCCGCAGCTGCGGGCAGCAGGGTTTTGTTTCATAAGCCGTTCCGGCGGATCGTGCGCAGATCTACGGGCCAGCAGCGCGCACGGAGCCAGACACCAGGCCTGGCACTGCCGCAAGGGCCTTGGAGCCCCGGTCACAGATGAGAGCGAGGTGTGCCGGTCGCCTTGTGCAGCAACAACAGACACACACCCCTTCTCCGCCTGCAGCACTGTGGCAACCGCCGTTTGAGGACAGGTGCTATCTGTGTCAGGTCGGAAGCTGAGCCCGTCGCGTGCCAGGCTGCCTCGGTCAGCGCGGGCGTCCCTCGGACCCAGCCAAGAACATGCACACCTGGTGACTGCACCCGGGGCAGGAGGCAGCGACTCGCCCCCTCTGCCCGGATCACGGCTCGTGCCACGAGCAGGACTGGAAAGCCCCAGGCCTTCCTGGGCCACCTGCGGGTGCAGCTTGCTGAAGGTATAGGTACGAGGGTCAGCTTGAATTCCCGCCGCTTTCCCGAGGGATGACGCTCCAGGACGTGCCCGTCTCTTCCACTTTGGCCAGCCCTACAGGCACTCAGCAGGGCTCCTGTGGGGTGGGAGGGAGCGGGGCTGCCAGAGACCCTGGGCCCAGTGCCTACAGCCCGGGAGACTGTCCATTTTACAGTGGTTTGCCCAGCCCCAGCCCCAGATGACAGGGCTACCAGATGCACCCGCACAACCAGACTGCGGTCACCTCCGGAAAGCCTGGCTGCGGTCCATAGTGGGTGCCCAGCTGGCATCCCGGCCAGCAGGAGCGAGTCCTGGCTGCCGCTCCCAGGGCCGCAGGTGCAAACCCAACACCCTCGGCCTTGCCCCCGCTTGCATCCTCCAGATCCATCCGGCTCACTTCACATAATCTGACGGGGAGGATGGGCCTGTGCTCCCCTTTGTTAGCTCCCGGGAGAAGCCCTTGGAGATCAGCCGTGAGCGGTTCTACTTGCTCTCCTCAGCCGTGCAGAAAAGCCCTCAAACCACAAAGTTAATTGGCTGCACATCACTTCCATATGTGGCGCGCCAGGAGCCCCGATGCTCGTTTCAGCCTTAGAAGTGGAGCAGAGCGGAACTTGCTGCCCTTTACAAGGAGGCTGCATTGAGCCCAATTACGAAGGAGCCCGTCAACCTCGACCAGGCTCCCAAACAAGGCCTGCCTGGCAGCCCCTCATGTGGGGAAGGGCTGGGCGCCAATGTGCTGCAAGCAGACTGCCCAGGGAAAGTCTGAACACGTGCCGTCTGCTACTGCCCTGCTCCCCAGCCCCCGGGCCCCCCCACCAACTTCTGGCAGCACGGATGCCCAGGCCATCCCTCGATAGGTGCAGTCACCTTTAAAGCCCAGCCCTGGCCTGGCCAGCCACATACCCTGCCTGCACCCGCACGGTTCTCGCTGCCTTGCCTCAGCCCCCGGGAGGACGGGGCGACCGCACAGAGGTCATGGGCAACGACTGCTTTTCTTCAAACCTCATAAACCATCTCCTTTCCATGCCCAGACGGACTCTCCTGAAGCCAAACATCAGGTTTCAATTAAGCCCTCTTGGTTTCCCAATCTGACGTGTGTTGGACAGCCTATCGCAACCTCGTAAACGTCCATTCACAGCCTTCTCATTTCCGGCTCCTCTCCTCTGCTCATAGATTACATGTAATATTCTGGGCAGTCGGATCATGTGTGCAAGAATAAAAACAAATCCAGAGAAAATAAAGGCAAAGCTCGGCGGCTCCCAGCCCTCCCCAGGGCAATGGCCCCGCTCCTCTGGAGGGCAAGCACGGAGGGGCAGAGGCAATGGACGTCTAGCAGGGGGGAAGGCCGGTGCAGGAGCCGCGTGTCCCAGCACGGACGTGCATGCACACACAGCTGCATGCTGCTGGGGGTGCCTGAGCCCCCGCAGATGAGCTGTTCTCCGTGGCTGAGCCCATCCGCAGCTCCTCCGCGTGGCATGTTTGCTGTGTCATGCTGGAAGGCGCTGTTTCCTACCTCCAGCGTCTGCCTCACCACGCTTGGACCGGACCCAAGCACCTCACCCCCGGTGTGTCAAAATAACTGACTCCTATTTCACAGCATGGGAAATGATGCCATAAGCCGCCCCAGTCTGAGCACACGCAGCAGCCCTGCTCTGGTCTGGCCGAACTCCTGCATGGAGGGCGGCCAACCCAGGCCACAGCAGCGGCACTGAGTCCCAGCACGGGGCCACATGCTGGACTGGGGACAGTACGGAGAACAAAGGGGCACTGGAAGATTTGGCTCGGGACCCGGATTTGTAACTGGCTTTACTGCTCTGGCTGCAAGGTGAAGAAACAAGACTCGACGAGCAGCTCACGGGAGCTGTTGCACCTGCCGTGGTTTCCCTCCCAACACTACACGTGCTGGGGTGCTGCGCGGCTGCTCGCCACCCCCCTGGGGAGTCCGTCCGTGAGAGCCTGTCCTAGCCCAGGCACGAGGTCCTACCCCGTTGAGCCGTGACAGGCGAGGTGGGACAGGGCATCCCTGGGATACAAGTGACATTCCTCCTTCCTCCGGGACAGGACACATGCAGGGGACACCACTCCCCAAGGGCCCTCCCCTGCCGGGCGACCCTGGCCTGGGCTCCCCCCTCACCAAGGAAGGAGCAAGAGTAGCAGAGATTCAGTGAGGTTCAGCAAGAACAATTAGGGACAGGTAAAAGCTCTGTCCTGGAGAGAGTGAAGGGACTGGGGCTGTTAGAGGGCAGCCAGGTAATGAATGGCCTGGAGAGCAGAGGTTGGCAGCTGCTACTTGCCCCCTTCCAAAACACAGGAGCCAGGAAGATTTCCAGTGAATTTAACAAAGGCAGTGAATTCCCAGCAATACAAGAACAGTCACTGGGAGTCCTCTCACCCCAGCAAAGCCAGAAGCCCAAAGACCCAGCAGGATCACACCAACGCAGCCTTTGCCAGGAGACGTGAATTCTCAGACAGAGCAGCACGTGCTAGGAGCCAACACGCACGCAAACAGGCTGCGGAGCGGGGCCTTGAGTTTGGCAGGGCTGCGATCTTCGTTTTGGGTACAACCCTGGGAAAGTCTGCCCAGACGTGACCGCTACAAAACTGAAGTCTCCCATGCTCAGCAGGGCCTTCAATGTTTGCAGCTAAAGTCCTTGAAGAATTCATCCCCACGGAGCATGACTTTCCCTGACCCTAGCTCCGTGACACCACCAGTCAGCTGGGCACCTAACTGCGGGGGGGTGGTGGGAAGCCGGGGGGAAGGGGCAGGACAGCACAGATGAGGAGCTGGGCTGGGCAGGACTGAGCGCGTGGAGGAGTCTGATGATTTGCTGCAGGGCAGAGAGGCTAGGACTGGTCTCATCAGCCCGAGCGGTGGAGACCGGGACATGGAGCCACGGGTGGGTAAGAGGGCTGTGGGGCTGGAGGGAGAAAGGGAGGGGACAGAATGAATATAAAATGACGGCTGTCTGGGAAAGCACACGGAGGTCAGGCCACGTCAGGCTGTCTGGGACACGCCACGGCTGTGGCTACACGGGCAGCCTTAAGTCTCTCCCCTTGGGCACATGCAGAATTGTGGCGTGGTCGTGACCGCAGGCCACACGCTGCCTCGGTGACACGGGGGAACTAGGGCACTCTCTGCAACGTTACAAAGCTCTGGCCGATTCTTCCCTGGCCGCTGCCCACCTGCTGTGCATTTTCCCTTCCGCCAGCAGCAGACAAAAAGCCAAGTGCCAGGGCCAGCTTTCTCGCCTCCGCCCTCAGTCCTGCTGGCCCCACCTTGCACCTACCCCTCTGCCCATCAGGCCGTTGTTGAAGGGCAGTCCGATGAAGCTGAAAGCTGCCTCTTGGATGAAGTAAGGGTTCAGGATGCGGATCTCATGAGGTTCTTTTGGGACGCGGGTTGCCACGGACTTCCAAAACCCGTCGGCAGCGCTCTAGGGAACACAAAAACCAACAAGGAAGCACAGCAGTCAGATTAAGACTCCTCTGCCCTCGCCTTCTCAGAGCGCAGGGAGGACACCAGTTCTCGCTCCCCCTTTCTCTGGTGCACTCGCAGCTTGAGGAGATGCCTCCACTGCCAATGGGTGGGACAGCAGATGTAGACGTCCCTGGCAAGCGCGGGAGCTCCCTGCAAGCATTTAAATGATGCATGCAGTTGCCCCAGGCCTGGGATTGTCACTTCAATTTGCCTCTACAAAAGCTTTTGTTCTTCCCCAAACCACTAAGACCAAATCTAAGTCCAGGACAATTTGAATCAAAGCAGAGCGAGTTCTTGGCTGGCTGCTCTTCATACCAGCCACTGTATTTGGCCACGTGTCTCCCTGGTTCTGGGAACGCAGCCCACCAGTGCCTTTCATTCCTCATGTGGGGAAAAGACTGGCTGCAGAGCCCCGTGCTCCATACAGCCTGACGGACCGGGAAGCTGCACAGTTGACACGTGCGCCTAACCTGCATTATGCATCTTCATTTACCATTGCTTCCCAGTAACGTCTCTATCTAGCAAAGCACGGGGATGTTGGCAAGGTGGGGAAAGATGGATTTGAACAGAGTAGCACAACTCCCCATTACAGAGATACTCCGCTCACAGACCCCAACCCCACGCTCGGCTGTGGCAGACCGCAAGTGGAAGAGCGCAGGGGCTGCGGGCACGGGGGAGCTCACAGCTAGTCGCCATCCTCTGCAGAGCAGGTGCTGTGAGGAACGAGCCAGGAATCCCAGCTATGGGCGACTGCTCCACTATCCACCTCTCCCAGCACGTGTGGAAAAGGCAAGACCTGGAGGGATCTTCAGTGCTAACCCCGTCAAGCAGGAGAGCTGCAGGGAATGGGTCAGATCTGCCGACTGACGGCCAGAAGGCACCAGCAGATCAGCTGCTGAGACCTCCCGCCTGTCCCATGCAAGAGCTTTCCACCGTTACTCCACGGCTCAGCCCAGTACCTTGAGTTTGGCTAAGCTCCTTCCAGAAAGACCCCCCGGCTCGATCTCAGAATACTAAGAGATGGAGAAACTGCCGCTTCTTGGGGGGCTTGTCCCCACTGCGAGCTGCCCTCATGGTTAAAAATGTGCCCGATGTTTCCAACCAAAGGTCGTCTTCTTTCAGCTTCTGGCCACGGATCCCCGCTCAGCCTCTCCGAGAGGCTCCAGAGCCTTTCAGCACTCAGCTGTGGCCAGGCAAGAGGTCGGTCCTCCGTCCGCTCAGGTCTCTGGGCTGAATGCACAGCCCCTTCCAGGAGCTGCACGCTGCAGTGCCTTCATCGCAGCCCTGATGAGCATCTGACCCCACAGTCACACGTGGCTCCCGATCGGGTCCTTGTTCCCCTGCGTGGCAGCAGGACTGTTCCCTCGCCCCAAGGGGAATGTGGACGGGGACACCCTGCTCCACAGGGTCTGGGTGGTCCCAGACCTTGAACTGCTGTACAGTTTGCCACGCTCCTCCTCCAGCACAGCCATCTCCTTGAGCCAGCTCCAAGCTGGGTCTTCTGGAGGCCCTGCCCCCTACCTGAGGGCTCACCCTCTTCTGCCAGCACCCAAGGCCCCTCCAACCTCTGCCTCCCACAGGGATCTCCTTCTCCCACTGAGACCTGTCCATCCGGCTCTGCAAACCTGGGAGCTTCTACACTGGTGGGTCCCAACCCTGTTTGACTCCAGGCCCCCCTGGAAAGGGCCAGCTCACTCAGCTGTTGATTATGGAAAACAAAGAAGAGCAATTCTCCTGTGGGAAAGACCTTGGACAGCCCACAGCAAGCTGGAATGACGTTGGAAATCTCTGGGTTTATCTTGTGAATCATGTGCAAGTGTTTGCACGCATCACCCTATTAACATTGCATGATGGTCCATGCCCCCTTCAAAGGCTGTCCCGGCACCCAGCTGAGAATCACTGCTCTACCTTTCGGCTGTACAGCTTGAAAGGACCTCCTCTTCCCCGGGTCGTGGCCTGTCTGGCCCAGAGGGCAATGCTGGAAGCAACCAGGCAATTTTGGCTTAAAAGAGCAGATACCTGGGCTTCACTCCGCTTCAACGCTTCCCCGCCCGACCACGCGGGTACATCAGCAGTGCAGCAAGTCACCGCGCAGACCGCTCTGTGATGAGCTAAACACCCTGAAGGCTTCAAGTCTCCCCCTGCGGCAGTGTCTCCAGCCCCCGAACGACAGCTGCAGACTGTGCTGCGCCGCCTCCAACTTCTCAGCGTACTTCAGCCTACGGACGCTGCGCCGGGCCCCAGGGCTCCACCGCTGCTCTCACCAACGCTGCATCGGGATGCTCGACCACCTCCCTGCTGCTGCTCCCCTGTTCACACACCCTAGGAGCGCGCTGGCCCCAGCCTTGTCTAAAAAGGTCACACCAAGCGGTGTGTCTGCTGCAACCCCTTGACCCTGCCTAAGATGCAGAGGAACGTAAGAATGGCCATTTACCAGGTCAGACCCCAGGTGCGTCATGCCCAGTCTCTGGTGTCACGCGGCGGCAGAGAGCGGAGGCTGGAAGGGAGCGTGACTGGGTCTGAGCAGCGTTTGCTCCTCTCTCCCTTGCAGCCTCCAGCATTGAAGGTCCAGGCAGGTGTGATGCAGAGGCCGTGCCCCTCACGCCCATGCTCAATAGTGACCGATTCCCTGTTCCTCCAAAAATGTGTCAAACCCCTTTTGAACCTGGCTAAACTGTCACTTCCCACTGCATCTGGTGGCAAAGAGTCCCACACTAATTACAGGCTGTGTGGAAAAGATCTTCCTCTTGTTAGTTTTAAACTTACTGCCTGCTCCTTTCATGTGTGACCCCTTGTTCTTGCATTGTGAGACAGTCAGTAGTAAATCCTTATTTACTCTCTTCCCCATTTAGTATGTTGTAAACCCTTCTCGTGTCCCCCCTGAAGCAACTCTTTTCCAAACTGAACAGGCCTGGCCTCTGTAGTCTCTCCTCACATGGAAGCCCCTCTGTACCACTCATCATCCTTGCTTCCCTTCTCTAGTTCGTCTCTATCCCTTTCGAGGTGTGGGCACCAGATCCAAGCTGCGGATGCATCACGGATTTGTAAGAGGGCGTCACGATACTTCCCATTTTGTTCAGGCTTCCCTCTTTAACAGTCCCTAACATTTGGTTTGCCTTTTTTGCCAGCTGCTGAGCACTGGGCTGATGTTTTAGTGAACTGTTCACAGCGGTTCGCAGACACAGGCCCCTGTTTGTAGGTGCAGCCTGCAGGCCAGGTCCAGCCATGTAAGCCTCTGCATCTGGAGGCATTACAGTGCAGCCTGCCTGAATGGGCCCAGACAGCCAAGGAGTTTGGGCTCCTCTGACCGTCCTGGCCTCAGCATTGCTTATTGTGCCTCCAGCTGCTGGGCCCTCTGCAAATGTCACCAGTGATGACTTTATGTCCGTTCTCCCAACGGCTGATGGATGTGTTACACAGCGTCTGGTCTGGCCCGACCCTGGCAGAAAGAAATTCTAATCGATCACGATGTGCTGACGACTGTTTCTGAGACCCATCAGTCAGTCAGGTGTTAATCCACTTACATGTGTTTTGTTGATATTGGATGTGACTAATCTGATAAAACCAGAATGCCACGAGGTATCTCATGAAAGAGCAAGATCAGACTGCTACAGAGAGCTCCTTCGCCTGGCTCATTATCATCTCACTAAGGGAATGTCTGTGGTCACGGTGGCATTATAACGCTGTTTCCTTGCTCAGCTGGGTGCTCGCACTAAGATTCTCCATGCTGGGACTAGGCCACTGGACACATCTTTTCTTTCAGAGTTTCAGCAAAAATGATTCTGTCATTTGCTTCCAAGAACAAGGCCACTGTCTCACACATTGCCAATCCTTACAGCCGTTGCAGGGGTGCTGTTTCCACTATCTGTGTAATAATGCCGGAGCTTCAGCCACGAACCAGGGCCCTGTTGGGCTGATGCCGAGAAGACGAAACTCAAGATTAGTTCTAGAGCTTCCATGGCATGAGGCAAAGAATGGGCTTGGGAGCATCCCGGTGGGTCATCCTGGTGCTGGAGACTTGCCTGTGTCTGTCCCTGTGAAAATCCATCTAAACTGCTGGCCTCTGAAAACCACCACTCGCAGGGGCTGAGCAGGGTTTTGTGGGAGGCCCTGGCCCAGAGCTACACCAGGCAAGAAGAACCTTCCCCAGGGCCTGTGGCTGCTGGAAAAGCGAGCAAGGAGAATCTTTCCCCAGTCCTCAGTGCTCCTGCTGCCCCCAGCTGCCAGGAGGAAGATGACAAGGTAAGGGCTGATGTTGATGGAAATACCCTGACTTACATGAAAGAGGACAGCAGTGGAGAGGGGGCAAGGCTGAGAAGAGAAGGTGCTTGTATATGTGACGAAAAATTCCTTTTGTGTGGCTTAAGGGCATCACACTTTACACCCATGTGAGTTTTGGGGGTTTTAAATGAATTTTCATCGCCACAAGCTAAACCACATCCCAATGTAGTATAGTTTGCAATGTTGCAACTTGGAACGTTGCAGTCATTAATCTGTCGGCTTGCCCCCTAGACGCAGGAGAGATGGGCAGGTTCTGCTGAAAAAGAATTGGGCCCCTCACCACTTCTGCCTTCAGCAAGCGCCCGTGGCTGGCAGGATGCCTGGGGCAGTGTGGGGAGGCAGCAGGAGGGTGGCTAGGTTTGCTGGCAGCTGGAGAAGGTGGTGGGGATGGTACATGAGGTGCCAGAAGTCCAGACAGGCTCAGGGAAGAGTTGGATCAGGCACCTCCAAGTTGGGGCAGCACCAAGCCCGCTAGCAGCCCATGTGGGCGGTCTTGGAGGGCTCCACAACCATAGAGGGAAGGACTGGGGCCCCCTGCAGCTCAGGGGCCACTTGGCCCTCCAGCAGCTCACTCCACAGCTGCAGGAGAGGTGGACAAGCTCCGCCGAGGGAAAAAAAAAGATCGGGCCCCTCATGACTTCTGCCTTCAGTAGGCACCTGCGACCGCCAGGACAA